AGACACTGTTTTCCCATATGGCAGCCGCTCCCACCCATTTTGGTTATCCCCTCCTCCTTCAGCTCTGCCTTGTCTCCATCATTCTCTACTTTGGAGAGAAACTCCCACTGATCTTTCAGGTGTATTTAACTCCTGAAATATTCTAATTAATGTTTTTATGTGTTCTGACTAAGTTACATTAAATATCCAATGAGATTCCTGGTCAAGGGGTCCTAGGAAGAAAACCAGGGGTATAAACCTCTTTACTGCATCTGGACATGCAGCATCTTATAAAATAAGATGAAAGTGATGGCACAGGAGTTTTTCAGAATAGACCAACCCGTTCAGTGCCTCGAACTGCCCATAAGGGAGGATGGGAAGTAGACATAGCCACTTTTTCCAGTGCTACGGTAGAAACAGTTAGAATAATTTCAAGTCCCCCACCACCCAGAAAGGGATCCCTGTGCTACTTTCTTTTCAAACCATTTTTCTGTATGGTATTTGTATGTTTGGATAATCACATGATTTTCATAAGCAGCTGTCACAAGAATATACGTTACCTGAATCTGTTTTAAAGAATTATGACTATTATGTCTTTTATGGTTTTTCATTTCCCAAGCTTCACTTTTAGTTTCCTCATAAGCTAGATGGTTAGTTGTTGAATTGTATCATCTTTTTGCATCATTACTTGGCGGTCCACTGTACCCTAGGAAGACTCTTTCTTTACAAGTTCGAGCTCGCACTTGTTACCTTAGCAGAATCTAAGAAGTTGAAGCAACCCAGGGGAGAAAGGGAGATTAGCAATACCTGGAATTAGCATTTTTAGTGTCCTACTTGTGCTCTCTATGACTTTCCTAACATCATTTCTCTTTGTCCTCTTTATTTCATCACTAACTTTATGTGTATTGATATATTCAGATAGATATTGATTGAACAGATAATCCAGGGCCTTGGCCCCTACCTCTGGCATGCGTAAGGATGCTGGGTCTTAGGATCTTGCCCTCTAGGATGGAAACTAAGGAAGAAGGTAGTTAGGATGAGAAGACAACCCAAGGCTTTTCTCAGCTGTTATATTTTTGCCTTTTGTGGCAATTACTGACCATATGCCTAGAATGCTATCCTTCGGCCATACCCTAGCTCTTTGCATTCTAATTTGAAGGATCTTGGGTGACCACAGAAAAATTTCCACTTGTCAACAGTTATTTTCCACTGTTAAAGGATGAATAGTTTCAATCTGAGAGAGAAGTGCCAGTGAAACTGAATTTTACCAAATCTTTCGCAGCTGCCCTCTCATTGCCAACCCTCCAACATTTCTCCATGTGTCTAACTGAGAAAATGGTCTGTACTCTCCCTATACCAGGTAATTATACACAATCACAATGGCCTCAGATCACTCCAGTTAGGATAGTATCAGTTGTTTCTTTCCTGGGGTCATCTGGACACACAATCAACATTACTACTGAGAAGCCATGCACCCTCCAACTAGCTACCGTACCGCTGTTTGTTGCAAATCCTTAATGCAGCCTTTCATTTATGATGGCTAGAACATTTCCCATTGCAGCCGGTTTCCAAATTCATCTCTTGTACTCTGAATTAATTATATTTTTTCTCTGACTTTCCCCTTACAAGTATCTACCTCTGTTGAACTTTCATCTCTCCTTAGTGCCACTATTCTCATGGACGGAGAGTACCAAGACTATTGGCCTAAAATTTGGAATCATCAACTAGTCTTGCTGCTCACCAGTGTCGCCTTAGGAAGCTACTCTCATTCTATTTCAAAAGTTACGTGTTCCACTTCAAGAAACACATACAGGGGAGCTCTGCCAGGGTCTAGATTATGCTGGAGATACAGAGAAGTACTTGACATGTTTTCTGCTTTTGAAAAACTTAATTGGAGGGACATAATCATAATTTTCTCCTCAAATTCAATTTATTCTCAGTGGTGTTGAACCTATGACACAGCGGACATGCAGAGCCCTCTCTATAGGCATGCAACCAAAGTCACCCTGGCATCACCCTGGCAGCTGAGTGTCACCTAGCAGCACACATAGGGGCCAGGTACATGCTCGGAAAGAAGTAGCACTGGCAGGCAATGATGTCAGAGCAATGACTCACTTGTTACAACTCATCTGAGCTTTCTCACAGCTGGTCAGTATTTGGGTTTAATTGCAGTGTTGGCACTTTGTGAAATATAAATGGGTTTCAGGTTGCAGTTCAGGCACTCGTCTTTAAAAGGTTCGTCATCACACCTCTATCTCATTCATTCTTGCATTCAACAAATATTTGAGAGTTGACCATGTGTCACACACCGAGTTAGTCATAAGTGATGCTAGCACACACAATACAGACATGCCCCATAACTTCAAGATGCTTTCTGTCAAACTAAGCAACTGCATCTGCGCAGGTTAGTGTTCTACCAAGGAATGCAACGGTGCAGAGGATTATGGGTAGCACTGAATCAGGGCTCAAACTGACACTATAATTTCTTCTCTTTGGAAACAAGACTACTTCCATTTCCTTAGAAAAGAATTTTGGACCAAAACTTTCTGTTTGGCTGGAAATAAATCAAGAACCCAGCCAGCCCTAATTTTCATCCACTTTTCACGCACTGTGTTCTCCCAGGTGAGCCTGCATTCTTGCTGCAACTAGGGGTTAAAACCAAACAAAGCTCTGACCTTTCATCCAGAGCCATCTCTGATCTTGGGATCAGTTGCTGCAGACTTGTAAGTCCAAGGAGAATAAACTTTGGAAAATACCAGAAAGATGTTTCCTATCCATAGCGATTTTAGTTATTCTACTTTGTAAATGGGTGGAAGTGAAGGTGAAGAATGTGAGATTTGTTTGGTCTAAGTGTGTCCTCCTTATCAGGAATGAATCATTCTGTTGCTTCAGCTTAATCATAAGGCAAAACAACCCAAACAAGTGGAAGAAAATGAGAAAGTCTGGATTGTTGGAAATGTCTCCGGAGCCTCTTGTTTGCCCGTGGATGGGGAATGGGCAGGCAGAGGAGGTGGCTGTGTGCTTCACTGGAATTCCTGGCTTTAGGTACCTGCTTCCATGTGTAGAGGATGTCTGGGGTAGAATGAGGGCTCAGCGTACTGTGCACATGTGTTGTGTACATGTACTTTTGTCTGGATGCATTGGTGGATGCTAGCGCATGACTGAGAATGAGTGAGCCTATTCCTGTGTGCATTTTAGAGGAGTAGATTCAATACCTTTCTTAGAGAAACCTGATCCATCATTAATTCGCAGCAGTACAAAGTGCTGCATAGCCCTGGTTATCTGGCTATCCTCAGTGGTATATGAGCTCTCTCTCTCTCTCTCTCTCTCT